CCTATGGATATGGATTCCTGGATTTTTTTAAGCCATGTTAAAGTTCCACAAGGTAACTCTGAGGCTGGTTGGGGAGCTGCAAGCTCTCCCTCCTCAGCTGAATCTCTTCTAGCACAACACAGGGAAGATTTATGAAAAAATGGACCTAGCTGAAAATACAAGACACAAGGGGTAACCCCTAACACCATCAGCTGCTCAGGAAAAAGTAAAAGATACATGAAAGTAAGAAAATGAAAAGCAGAAATCAGCAGATACTGAAACAATGGCATTTGAAAATTTAACCATTCTGAAACAAAACTAGCATAGGGAGGTCCCCAACACTAATTTCACCATCTCATGGCCCAACCTGAAATTCTGTACTGTGCTGCTGACCAGGAGGATAAACCACCTCCCTCCCTTTCAATTCCTTTGTCAAGATCATCTGAAAGATAGAGAAAAGAAAACAAGAGCCCCAATCCTCTTCAGACTTTGCAGGCTACAGCCATACTCAGTTGGAAAAGCTATAATAAGCTAATTAAAAGAGGGCATTTAAAAAAAAAGCTGAAAAACTTTGAATTTTTTCAATGTTATTCTACAAAAAGTGACCGAGTCCATCTGGTTCAAACTTTTTAGAGGACCTAATTCAAAACTGTGTCCCTCCAGTTTTCTACTAATGAAACTGCGCTGGTTTCACTGAGATTACACTGCATAAGACAGGAGTGATAAGTCAGGCTGTAGGGCTATTTAAATTTATGCTAGCTAAAGCAGTCATTTAGAGATCCTTCCAAAAGAAATTTCCAAAATAAGTCATTTATAAGCAAAATATAAAAACCATTTTAACAAAAGTATTTAAATACATATTAAAATGTCCTCACATGTGTGAAAGCTAACAAATAAAAACATTATACTAAGCAGGGAATATGTGGTAAATGCGTAATAAGCTAGTGGACCTTGGCTGAATAGTATAAGACTGTTAGAAGACTAAGAAATACATCTCCTAACATTCAGATTGCAGTGCCTTCTGCTGTCCTGTAAGTGTCACAGGACAGCCATTTAGTCTTGACTAAAATTTGAGATAATTATCCTGTGCAAGTGCCTCATTCTTTTTGTGAGAAATGCCAGCTTGTAATTTGCTTCAAAAAATTTCTTGTGCTTAAATATGTTTACAGTCTCACGGGATTACAAATCTGGGATTATTAATAAAGCCCAAACCCCGTTATTCCACTATCATGCATTTCACTGGTTCTATCAAAGCATAATGGATATTAATAACACTTTTAAAAGGCATTCAGCTACTTATACAATTCTAAATTATATATTTGCTCAGGTGGCATAAAAATTACTTTCATCTCTGCTAAACTAAGAAAAGCAGACAAGTTTCTTTAAATATTAAGATACTGTTCCTTGTTAAAAAATGCTCAGAGCTATGCATTGGTTTTATATGTTTAACAACTGCCACATGTACAGCTGTCAATCCAAAGAAAAAAGTAAAATTTAAAAAATTGATTTTTCAATCTTTTTGGGAGTGTGAGATCTCAGAAGGATGTTTAAAGCCACTCCTCAAGATGTACCTCAGCCCTTAGCAACTTCCACCAAAATATTTAAACAAACAGCAAACGACATTTTTGTGACATCACTAACACACATAAATTACTAACAGATAAGATTGTTCAAGCCTTAGGCCCCAGTCCTGCAATGAGTGCCTCATAACCTATACCAAACTGCATAGCAACATGGATCCACCCAGCCCCAGCTCACTGCAGCATAAAGGCCTTCAGTCATTACTGTAAACTGTGGTTGACTCAAAGGGGAATGCAAATAACAGCAAATTATCCAACAGTGACCAGGTATAAGGAGCTGACAACTGGGAAGGGAGGAAAGTGAGAGTACTGATGGGGAATTAAAGTATCAACACATTTCACTATAAAGGTGAAATGTGCATGGGTGAATTAACCAGTTTACTGTAGTGGCTGACAGACCTTACCAATTATCAATTACCACTACTTGATGGTCTACAGTGCAAACTTTAAAAATGGATTCTCCTTTAAAGAAGAAAAACATGGGAAACAGTGGCCTTTCTTTTGCAAGCTGGCAGAATTCCAGCCTGCAAGGGGCTGTTTGGGACCCCCGTGCCCTCTGCCCCACATACTGGGGAGCTGGGGCCTGGCAGTGGGGGGCAGCAGGTCAGGAGTGAGGGGCACTGGGTCAGGACTGGCCATCAATGTTTACAAATGGATCCTGGTACAAAAAAGATTGAGAACCAGTGGTCTATGGTAACTGGATGCTAACACCCAAGAGAGAAACCTGACGACCCCCCTCCCCCACCCCCCCACCATGATAACTACCGTCATGTTTGGCATTCCCTGCAGAGAAACAGCTAAGTGATTTTAAATTCCTCTCCCATCCTTCATGGTTCTGCTTCCTACCAAAGTTCAGGAGCGCTGGTAGACCAATGGAGGAGGCTTGCACTAGTACTGCCCAGGTTGCAATACATAGTTGCAATTACCCTTTCTGTTCAGTTTATTGTGTATTGAGCAAGCGGTACATTTCAGTACACCTTTTTTTTTTTTTTAATGATAGTATAGTTGTTTGTAAAGACTTAAAGTTGATTATATTGTAGTACTATGATTCATTCATAATATTCATAAGCTTTACCACTCGGTAGAATGTTTTACTGTATTTTGACCAGATAAAAATGTTAGGAGTCATGTAATACTCTAGAGCATTTGACCAACTCATCATCCTATTAGAAACCCTCTGCAGCTATACCAGAATTTTCATTTTCAAGATACATGAGCTTTTGTCAAAACCTGACATCTCTTCTCTAATGTGAATTTTCAATATGACATAAAAATGATGGATGCATCACACAATTCAGAGAGCATAGAGAACAGCAACCTGTCACTGTATTTAAAATTTGTGACAGCCTGTTTGAGGTGCATTGCACTAAGACCTATACTCTGTTTTACATGCTAGGTAATTTTTAAAAGACTGCTAATAAGATGAATGCTTGCTTGCTTTTTCTGTTACATAACAGAGGATACAAATATTTTCTTCCTCACTGAATGAACAGCTCATACCCCCTTGACTGAGAGTTATTAAACTCCACCCCTTGGAGTGGCACAAGTGCCTGTCTACTGAAGAGAGAACTTACCTTTGTCGCCTCACAAGATTAATACCCATTTAATTACTGCTTTGACAAAACACCCCAACTGACTGGGTGCTGGAACTTCATGTTACAGAACAGTTTGTCACACTCTCTGCACAAATACCAAAGTTAAATTTACTAAAGCTGTTAGATGCATATAAAAGTACTTTGAAATCTGATGCAAGGTATTAAAAATGTTTTTCTGTTATGACATTAAATGCTGAACAAGCATGCATGTGTCACTTTTAACTCCAAGATGAAGGTTACTTTCCCCATTCAACCATAGAAAACAATATTTTAAAAAAGGTCATCTTAATTGATTCAGGAACTTAAGACATAAAACTGACTTGAGTGCAAATCTTAAGTCCAATTTAAATAGCTATTACGAAGGATTTCTCTTGCAAAATAAAAGGTCACACTAACATCTACCAACAAAAGAAATGTGAATTATCGTTTGCAGAAGGGATTATATTACCTAGCTTTAAGTGCATTTGGTTTTAGTTGAAAAATACTGTGGGAAGGTTTGCAGGCCTCAGCATAAGTAGTTAGGGACGGCAATAACAGCAGGAACAAGACTGAAAAACAGACTGATTTATGAGGGCGGAGTCAATTATTAAACAGTGGCTGGGAGCTCTTCTGAACCTGGGGGCCAAAAACTTTGAATGGGCACAATAAGAAAGGGGAGCAGATAGAGAACAGCAGGCCTGGTAACAAAGCCCTCTCCTGCAACATACAGACCATCCGACACAAACCTTTAACCATGTTCTTCCTTAGGAAATACTACAAAACAAAAGATCAAAAGGGGCACAACACTACAAGCAAAGGCTACCTGGATGTTATTGTAGAAGAGTACTTGCCAGGCTCAGTAACTACGGCATGAGTACACAAATAAACATCAGTGAGGGATAGGATTCAAAGGCAAGAACTACTTCATCCTATGAAGGGCTTTCTTTCTTTCTTGCAAATGGGAAATTGCAAAACAGAAAGAGAAATGGCTAATCTGCCTTTTTAATCCCAACTCCTGGTCCCACGCTGTCCAGCCCAGCCCTCCGCCCAGCACCCACTCCAGCCACAAACTCAGCCCGACAGAGAAAGTGAAAGCTGGCTTGTTCACGCTATTTTGCATAACCCACAGCAGTGCTGCCTGCCATCAATTGCTGACCCTGGCACAGGAGTATTAAGAATTAAGCTGCATTTGGCGGATATTTTTTTTTTTCTCCGAGCCAGGAATTCAGCTGCCAAGTGACTGACACTTGATATTTGGAGGCGATTGGTCGGCTCTGCCCCTCCGTTTGCCGGTGACTCATTCGGCTGCAAGGATCTGATGTGGGAACCCTCCGATCCGAATCAATCGCAGGTTTTGTCTCCGTGACACGTTTCTTGTCCGATCTAAGGGGGAATGAAGGGCTCTCGACCCGAAGCCACCGCGCAATAGGGCTGCTCTTTGCAAAGACGCCTTTTTGCATGCCTGGTGGAGCGCCAGGCGGTGGATTCCTGCATCCCTTTCTCCTCGCAACTTAGCTCGGCACACGGTGACACGACCAGCAGCCGTTAACTCTTGTGCTCCTGCGGGCAGGCGGGGGGACGGGGACACAGACATGTCTAGATCGCTCCAGGTGCGGCTCCGCATGAATCCCCAGGTCCTGCTAAAGACTCACCTGGGGGGCAGGCAAGGGGGAGGCAGGGAGGGTTAATGACTGATCTGCAAAACAATTGCTGCTGCTAAAAAAAAAACAAATAAACAAGTGCCATTTCTATACGGAGCCAACTGCTCCAGGCAGCATCTGCGGCTGGTTGTCTGGGATGCGCCTAAGGCTGCACCGAGCAGCATCCCCCCCGTGTCCATAAACAACCCGGCTCGCTCGCTCCCTACCTTGTGCCAGCGCTTGCAACATGTGGAGCTGCAGCACCAGAAACGCCC